AAGAGGGAAGTAGGTGAGAGGAGAGAGAGGGAGGGAAAGAAACCAGAGCACAATTAGTATGCTCACCTTACTGAATAAACCATGATGGACTCCAAGTGCTGTGAACAGATTGAATTAGAAAGACTAATTTGATCAAGGCACACTCCCTAACAGTTGTTACTTCCCTGCGAATCCCCTCCCTCCGAGCCATACGTCACGCATCAAAATAAATATCTCTCACATTCCAAATTTGGAGGGAACCTGCGAGCACACAGACAGCCTCATTACACTACAAAAGATCCATTTCCCCTGAGATCAACAGGTTTGCCAGCCTCTCTGCTTTCCCAGATACTGCATTACACTCGGCTGCCTGGCAAAACTCATTGTCGTATTGTGTCAACCTTCTTTTGTTTTTGCAAATATAATGCTCTTCTGCCACATGTATATTTTCTCTGTCCTAGCTCTCACAGGAAACATGTCTCCCAAGTGATCAGGTTTCTCAGGAGGTGTAAATGTCTCTGCAATATGTTGTAAAATGCCACAAAACAAATCAAGAGTTGCATGCAGCACATGTGGTCATGTTCATGTTTATGTTTTGCAGTATATTTTTGGATCCCACCGATAGCTTCCACAAAGTGATTGCAGATCTTCCAGGGGTCGACATAAAATGATAGAAATGCACATCAGCAACTCAAAAGCACACAGGAGGCAAAACCAAACATACTTTAAACATCAGAGAATAAGTCAGCTGATGTTTGCATGTAAAAAGGGTTAGCAATGAAATTGTTACTAGGAAAAAAAACAAAAAAACAATGTAAATTAAAGTCTAAATAACTAAAACTAAACTACATCCATGTAAGATTCAGCAGATTTTGTTTCATATACAAACTAAGTTTTAGATAAAAGGAATAGAAACAAATAAAAGTACCGGTATGCAGCGATGTGTGACGAGTGCAGTAATCTATACTATAGATGAGCTGTCCCCCGACCAGCACAGAGAACCATTTTCTCTCTATAAAGGAATGCTTTTCAATGAATGGCGGCTGTGACTAATATCTTAAAGTGTGAGTCTACAGATCCATGTGAGAACATTGCTGCTGGGCCAGACTCACAAAGAGTGCCAAAAAGAGAAAATGTACAATAATTTCCATGTATTTAAGAGCTACATGCGTCAGTGTGACACAAATTCTGTCATATCTGCCTTCAGGAGGCTGATATCTTTGTTCAAATATTCAGCTGAGGAGGAGGCATGGATTTGTGATGGGGGAGGTTGGGGGAGGAGACGATTGGGTAAGGGGGTGCAGACTGGCTCAGGGTGTGATGTGGAGCACAGTGATGGAGAAAGGAGGATATAGTCGACTTTTTTTTGACAGCCCCTTGCTTCTGCCCTGAAGCACATGGGTAGGGAATAGAAAGAGGATGGTGGTGGTGGTGCTTAGGGGAGGCGAGAAGAGGAGAGGAGAAACAAGGAGACAAGAGGAGAACCATGACCAAGAGGAAAGGAGAGAAGAAACAGGAGATGAAAGAAAAGGAAAGCTGGTTGGTAAAGGGAAAGGAAGTGAGATAGGAGATCCAAGAAATGAGAGGAGAGAAAAGTATTGGCAGAAAACCGAAGAAGTAAAGGAGAATAGATGAGATGAAAGGAGCTAATTTCCAGTTTAACATTTGACCCTTAAAGTTCCTTGAAACAGGTCAGTTGACCACCATGCACACCCCTCTCGCCGTGTCATCATCACTGCTGTCACACATGCAGCGTGGCAGACGCGGCAGATCGCAGAATCCAGGTCAAGCTTGAAGGAAACGCACACCCAGTCGGGCAGAGAGAAAAAAAGAAAGCTTAAAAGAAGGAGAGGGGGAGCAGGAGGGGTAGAGCCGTTGTGTCTGTGTGTGTGTGTGTGTCTGTGTGTGTGTGTGTGTGGAGAGAGAAGAGAAGGGGAGAGTAGAGGAGGTGGGGTCAGGCCCGCTGCTGTTGCCATGGCGACCACATCCAGATGCTGCCGCAGCAGTGGGAGCCAGCGGGAGGAGCAAGTCAGTCTGGAGCTTAGAGGAGAGGAGGAGAGCAGAGGAGCCCCTTACACAGTACACTGCCTGCCACATCTAAAGCCAGTGGCAGCACCCAGTGCATTGTGGGTTTAGGTTGAAGCCACATGGAGGACGAGATCTGTCTGCGTTTTTCTTTTTTTTTTAAAGGGAAGGAGATGGGAGGGGGGAGGAGGAGAGAGAAGGGGGATTCCAGGGAGAAGCGGTGATAAGGAGGGATGGGAGGGTGCTGTTGCTATACGGAAGAGCTTGCAGGAGATTCTGAGCTCGTCCAATCAGGGAGCAGCTATTTATAATGCATATCAAGAAACTCTTCATTTTTCATAGAAGGGGTGGATGCTCAAAGAAAATGACAGGAGCAGGAATTAGGTAAAAACACATACAGTACATGCACATGGAGATTTATTTTATCCGCTGGATGAGGATGTATCGTAATCTGTGTCAGATAAACATGAATGAACTACATGTACCATGTGGCGATTATTTGCTATTCTAATTAATATGCTAATGCGACTAGGATTTAATAAATCCAAGTGTCATGCTGACGCAGTAGACCAATATAGCCGTTTGCTGTACGCCCATAGTCCTCTCCATACAAGTCTGAACACACTGGAATTCCAATCATAAGTTACTAGATTAAATTCCTTTTTGATAACGTTATATAATTCATGAACGAACACATGATCGCAGGGAAATACTGTATAAAGTTTGAATGCTGTACTCCATACTGCCTTAGTGCAGTGTGAACTCCAAAATGAAGTAGGCAATATGATAATGTGACTTGGCAAGAAAACTACATCAGAGTGTGTTAGTGTGCCACCAGGGACCACACCCTACTTAACCAGCTTGTCAGCACATTCAGCAGAATAAGATCTCTCCCATCATCCCCTTACCAGGTGCCTACAGTTAGAAGACCAAGGTGAATGTGTTATATTAAAACTTTAACTGAGGAAATGCCAAACACCCAATTTTCTTGCTCTTTTGCGACCCTGACAGTCGACAAGTTAAAGAATGAGTGAGGAATGAATACAACAGCTGTTGAAAGGGATTCACTCGGAGGGATAGGACAACAGTAATGGCATAGCCTTGCTCTGTGGAATACCTGAAAGACACATCTAATGAGTCCGTTCGTGTATTTACAGCTCTTTCTGTAAAAGACACACCAGAATAAAACAGCACTCCAGTATTAATCTAGTGGTGTACTGGGACACAAACTATGTCAATGGTGTTTGCACCATTCAAGTACAAGTACATTGAACATTCAAGTATTATCACATTTTTTTGAAAGCAGGTCTTTAAAACTCTCAAAAATAATCAGTACTCTGATCTGTGAGATAGCAATGCTGAAAAGGCCTTGGAGGGTTGTCAAGTGAGTAAGAAAATACTATCTATTATTATTACAAAATATTTACAGCTTAAAACGAGTACAGTCTGGTGCAAAGTTAATTTCTGTTTCATTTTATAGCCATTCCAGTGGCAAGGCTCCAAGGATGGCAATGTCAGCCGCTCAGTTAGTTGGTCTGTCGGCAGTCATTCATGGTCACCTCAGGGTGAACTGTAATAACTTTGATGATTCCTTTACTTCGTCATTGGGTCAATATTGTAATTAGTGCAATACTTGTGGTTTTTGACCAACTACCTGCAAAAGTAATGACATTCCCATCAGCCTCAGCTGTACTTTGTATTTAGTGCTGATTAGCAAATGTTAGCATGCTAATATGCTCAACAAAAATATTGCTGGTAAACATTATACCCGCTAAACATCTGCAGGTTAGGATTGTCATTGTGAGCATGTTGCCCAAAGCACAGCTGTGTCTAAGTATAGCCTCACACAGCTGCTAGCATGGCTGAAGCTTCTTGTTACTACACTGTACCTGCTGCAGGCCCCTTTGAACCAAACCTGTGGCTCATAACAAATAATAGATCTCACTGTGCAACTTTTCCTGCTAAACACTGTGTGTGTGGTCTTATTCATAGCTTTAAATAACGGGCCGACCCTTCATCCCACCGTTTCTGCATAGCCCAAAGTGCCTTGGTTCCTCACTAAAGCCACCCTGCTCCCTCCACCCGGGCAACTGACAGTGTGCCCTTGAGCAGACCAACTCCTTACCCGCTGCTACGCCAGCTAACCTCCTCACTTTACCCCCTGGCTTTACAACTGTGCTGCCATCTGTCTGTGGCCCCGCTGCCGCGGGGGCCCGGGCACAGTCAGGGCACACAGCTAACAACTCGCAGGGAGAGAGTGAAGAGCAGAAGGGCTGAAGTGAAGAGAGCATGAATGAGAGACAAAAGCCGAGATCAAGAATGGTAGTGCTCAAGTGTAGAGTGATTTATTAAAGGACAAACAGAGAGAATGACGAACACTTTCGCAAAATGACTCTCTTCAGTCTCTAAAAGGAGCCAAGTCCACTCAACATATTAATAACTTCTGAAAGCCTTGTCTCATAAAGCTTTCTATCCTCTATGAGATGTATATTTGCATATCCAATCACCAACATTCATCCCATTGAACTACATTTCAATGAGACATAAATAATAAATTACTAATGAGTCTTGTTTTCAGGACAGTTTTATTATATAATCCATTTTGGGCAATTCTGCAACTGTAAATTCATTAGGCAGAGGACCATAACCACCACTGATGATGATTGATGAAGGTCATGTTGTGCCTTATATGCATCTTTCTAACAATAATGTACTTCATTAGAAAGGGAACGAATAAAAACAACCTGTTTACCCTTCTGAGCGGTCCATTCTAACGCCTAATAAATGAACTCTGGTATAAACAAACAGAGCCAGCTTTGCTCCTCTGGTGAACTTGTTTAGGACTGAAACTCATTTCTGGGAAACCAGGGTGTCACGGTGTTATAGGCTACATGAGTCTGCAACCGCCAAGCCTCCAGATCATCCAAGTGATTACAGCACAAAACTCCAGCATGTGGGCTACTGGCATCAAGAGAGTGAAATTATGTCAGTGAAGCCAGCAACCAATAGGAAATGCCCGAGGCCCTTGTTTTTTTTACCATATGTTGATGTTAAGAGTGAGGACTAGTGGGTGGCTTCG